CTTCTCATTCTGAAGCTTTTTGTAACATATGGCCATGTTTTTGTCAATATACGAATCTTTCAACTTTTATTTTAAGCATAAGTTCTTACAGGTTCATTTAGATGCAATGTAAATTACTGAAATTATATACTGATAGCGTGTCAGGCCATGTTATAGCTTTTTCTATACTGAAAAAGGCTGTCAAAATAGAAATTTCCAAGTGCAGAACATTTATTTCCAGTAGTACTCGAGAGAATTTAAAAGCGTTTACTGGCGATTTAATTAATTTTCCAACCTTGAGGCTGTGTAGCTGACAGCGTTTTTCTTAATTTTCTTCTCGAATCTTTGTTACTTTTCCTTATTAAATCCGGAGGATTGCTAGAGTGGACTTGCATGACAAGGGGATTATTGGATTTTCGAATACCGTGCTCGATAATTATACGAGAGAGTTAATTGCTTGGCGCCTATTTCCGGCGATATCGGAGGAATTTTATTTTAATAAAAAATCCTTCCTGCTGTGACATTTGCTTTGCTGTAAAATGGAAAATTATCATTCTAAGATGAGTTAAAAGTTTGAAAATGCGTTATAAAATATACTGAACACCTATGGGAACATTTTCAAACATCTGTATTTTTCATATCATCGAGCTGTTTTCAACTTATCAAATGTTTTTTCATTGTAAATTGTTTACTCTACAAATGGAAGAAGAATTTTAAATTAAAACATCTTATTAAATTTTGAAATCCTGTAGCCTTTCAACCAGTTTTCTAGGATGTGTGCTGAAATAAATATAACTAATCTTTCGAAGAATAAAAACAATTATATTACCCTTGTTTGACAATTTTATCTGTGTCGGCAGACGGCTTATTCGTTTCATAATAAAATAAATTTTCTTGTCAACCGTTTCTCTGAAAAAGATGGTTTACTGTTTAGTTGTATTCTATACAAAGAAGATAATAAAATTCGATATAATAATAGAATTCCATGGAAGCTTTTATTCGTTTCATGCTTTTGTCCTAGATGGAGACTTTCCTTGTTGCTTAACTGTGCTTGTCTTCAATGTCTGTCTAACTGTCTTAACTGTGCTTGTCTTGTGTATGCAATTTTTAATAAATTTTCCGAAACAAAAATTGTTCTTTATAATTAACACTGAATCAAGAAGATATATCAGAGTAGTCTGTCTCCTCTCACTTGTTTGACAGTAACATCAAATCAAGTCCACAAATCTTATCGTGGCTAAGGGGTAATGTCTATCGTTGGCTTAGGTCTTTTACACATTATAGGTAACAGTAAGAAATATACCGACTCCATCTCAAGTCCGAACCGGAACTTCCCGAATCTCTGAAGTCCGAACCAGAACTCCCGGAAGTATCTGAGGATCTCCCATTTCTGTTTCCATACCAAAAAGCCTCTAAAAAAATTGTTTTGCCAGTATTTTAAGTGTTTCCATGCGCATAAAGACACAAAAAAAAAATACATCCATCCATGCTTACAAGCATCCATCCTTGCTTTCTCCTAGAATTGAATATGATTCCAAGGTTGTGATAATCAGCTGCCCTACTACCACGTTAACCCTAAAGTAGTCAAATAAATGGCTCCACGAAAGTTGTCAGATAACTTTCTTTTCTTTTCTGTGAAGTCACATTGACAATTCCAATGTATTGAATTTAAATTCAATATTTTCGAGAACTATTAAAAGCTTGTCATGTATTGCTTGTCAATTATTGCAAATGCCGTCTTTTATCGAAATGGTAGAAACAGCTAAATAGTGAAACTCCAGTTGGTTTTAACTCATTTTCCCGTAAAAGGTGAATCTTTAGTCCGTCTGACGTGTATTTGTTGAATTTTAAAGAGATAATGCACATATCATATGATTCACTGAACGTATAACCAGCGAGAATACGTTATATTTTGCATGAAACTCCAAAGTGCTGTTAAAAACGATACTACTGTAGTCTTACTGTAGCTTAAATTCGTTTGCTAAATTATTTTCTGTTATCTCTACATATATCAAAAGAAAGAATCTGTGCGTCTGTTTCGTTCGTGCTGCGCGTAAGCTAATAGACCCAGGGCTACGAAATTTCGTATATAGTTGCATCTAGACAAGAGCCAGTGCACTTTATACTCTCTAGTTAGTTGCAATGAAATAAACGAAATTCGTAAGCAGAATTGTAAATTAATTCTTTAAAACTATAATTCTTAACGTTCAATGAGTCCTTATTCTTATTTTGTTGATTTCCAAAACAAGCAACAGAACAACAACGCACATTTTACATAAATACAAATCACATCACTTTCTATGAATTAATTTCCGTAGTTTTTTCACTGTATTATATTCTCCCTACTTTCTGTCTAACCATGCTACAGAATTTTGAAGTTTTTTGCGTTTTTATTAGCCGAAAGAGGCAATTTGTACAAAAGGGCTAAATTTCGTTTTGGCATTTTCCATTATTTCAATATAAATGTCGGTTCACTTTTGAAATTGTTACCACCAAGTATTAGAGTACTGCATTATATTTGAAAAAATTAAATAATGAATAATCTGCATGAATGTACGTATGTTTCTCGCACTGCGAAAAAACAATGCTACCTAGAGACATCAAATTTTCAATAAGTTGTCTTCCACTAGAATATGAGCATCTGGAAGCCCGAATTTCGAATTCGTTTTATTATCTATTTCATAAACTTGTAAAACTTTCACGAATTTTTGGTTAAGAATTTCAACGATTTCAAAGCAAGCTATGGCAACACTGTACGAAAAAAAAAAAAAAAAAAAAAAAAAAAAAAAAAAACATTTTTATCTCCAGCGTGCGAGACTGTATCGGAAATTCTAAAGATAAGCTCATTTTAAAATTATTTTGCGATATTGCTGTTGAATTGAATTTTATGGTTTGAGTACATATGTAAGATTTTCACTAGTGTAATTCTCAGTTACTGTAGAAAGTGACGAATCTTAAGAATTAGTTAACGAATAATCGCTTAAGTTCGTGTGACAAGAAACAGCAAGATGGAAGGGTAACTAACCCTTTATTATTTCAATAAGATTTAACAAAACTCCGTCTTGGAGTGTACAATGAAAGTCGACACTTGGGCCTGAACTTAAGAGACTAAAAATTAATTTTTTTATCTTTTTTTTTTTTTTTTTTTTTTTTTTTTTGTCTTGCAGAGGTATTTTAGAAAACTTTAATTGCTTAACGTAATGCAAAGGATATTTCAGCTAAGCTGTATTGCATTTAACTGATCATTAAACTGATCATTAATTTAACTGATCATTTAACTGATAAGCATTTAAACTGATCAGAAATTACCATGCCTGCATTTAAGCTATAACATTTAATCTGTTGCTTCTATTTAAGTTAATAGTGTTCATAATAATAAGCTAACATTTGGTCATAATGCACATAGTATTTACTTTTCTTTTCAATAAATTATTCTAAAATAATACAAAAAATTCTCATTCAATTATATACAAGTATTTCTTCTTTTGTTTCTGTAAAGATCAGTCGAGATCCAAATGTTTCCAAAATTTACCATACTTTTATCTTATAGTCGAAGCATTCATTTATATCCTGATGCGTCAAAAAATCGCAGTTTTAAAATTTTTAGTTTTCTTTTCTTCCGCGTGCTTAAGCGTATCCTAAGTAGCTTCTCATTGTATTGCGCTAGTTTTGATTGTACTGTCGGTAATTTTATTTCGTTATTTTTTCGTGTGTATTGCGCATTTTATGAGCCGTGTAATCCGTAGATTTCGTTTCATACTGAAATTTCTTTCGCGTTTTATTCAAAAACTTTTTGCATATGTTCGTAAAGACATCCAGTCACCGGAAGATGCTTGGATACAATAAACCAATACTTGCTTAGTCGCGAATATTTGAAAACTTTGTTTTTAGCTGAAAAGCGAGATGTCTCAAGAGCCTTAAAAGAATAGGAATTCAAAACATATGTGTTCAGGACATTCGTCTATAGAGTCGAGAAGAGAGTTTTTTTAACGCAGCTTGGTTGAAAAACGTGGCTAGAACAATTTCTTACAACCCAAAGATTTTAACCATCTTTATTCATTCTTGACCTGTAAGAAGAGCTTCATTACTTTTTTTTATTTCTCGATGTATAAATCTAAAAGTATAAAAACAAATTCCTTCAGTTTTTCTGCTGTGAGTATACAATACTCATTTCACAGAAAGATGTGAGCCAAAAATGAAATAATAAAAGTAATAAAAAATCAGTAATTATGGATTCATATGACCAGAGGATAGTTTTCACTTTGCGATTAATAACTTTCGTTTATGTTCCCTATCATCATGTTGCAATCCCTGAGGCTGAAGGCATTCATTCCATTAACTCTATAAATAATTCTCTGCGTATAATTCCGTTTGGATTACGGTGACTTTATGATCTATGCAAATATCTGGCAGAAGAGGCCAGTGTTTCAATATTAGGCTACAGCAGCGTTATAGGAGACAACTGGGACTGCGCAACTATCGAATATTTTTCTCTAATATCTGTTGCCTGTCTAGATTGAAAATTTGCCGGTAAATGTGCTATAGATAATTTTAACGACAAAAGAATAAGGAATTGAATTCTTATCGTATTCCTTTTTTTAATTTTGGATAATTATGTATAGTGATGGTTAAAATAACAGATATGTATTTCGATAAACTAATAAATGCATATTCAGAACTCTGATTTCTAAGAATCAATTATATCTGAGTGTTTAATTAGATGGTTTCAATCTCCTCATCAAATGATGTAGTATTAGGCCTTGGAATCAAATAATGAACAAATAAGCTGGAGAACTCCTCGACCGTAGCATTATCCTGATAACTGAAGCGCGATTCATAACTGAAAGCAAGCTATTCAGATCATAAATATCTTCTAAATGTAGTTTCTAAGACATATTTTATTAATCTTCAGTTGAAACCTTGTTCAAATATATGCTTTCTACTAGATGTAAGTATGATTAAATGATATCATTTTCATATTATGAAATGATCTTTTCCAATGTGGACTTCTCTCCTTTCAGGGTTCTGCCATGTCATTCCAGATCACATCACTTCCCGGAACGCACCCGCTCCTAGTCCTCATCAACCCGAAGAGCGGGGGAAGGCAGGGCTTGAGGTATTTCTTTTTTGCTTATTCAATGGTTACTTACGTAGTGTGTAGTCACTAACTAAGCATGGATGCAAATGTGCAACCGTTAAGCACAAAATATAACTGATGAACCCAAAAAGAGAACTTACTAATTTATCTAAACAAAGGCACAGCTTTTTTCTTTCATACAAACACATAATACATATGTAAATATGTATTGTAATGTAATGCATATGTAAAGTTTATTCAATGTCATCGAAGCATGGCCTTTTTATTGGTAATGTTTAACTGAACAGCTGTTAAAATATGTACGGGAAAATAGTATGAATTAAGCTTAAGTTTATCGAAAATTTCACTTCCTATAGAAAAATACTTTCTTTCCAAGAGATATTAAAGAGATTTTTAATATAGCTGTTAAAAACAAATTTTACAATCACTTTAGCAGCTATTTAAGAACACTTTCTTTCTAAGCGTTAAGCTAGTTACGTAAATTTTAAGCTATAAAAAACCACTCTCTTTCTAAGCGAATTTAAGGATACTTTTTAACTGTTAAACTATTAAACATTAGCTATTTATCTAAGCGTTAAGCTGTTTAAGAGCACTTTATTTCCAAGCGTTAAGCGAATTTAAGAGCACATTCTTTCTTAGCGTTAAGCTATTTAACGCTAAACTATTTATCTAAGCAGTAAGCGAATTTATTTCAGCAAAAAATGTGTTTCTCAGTACATGAGCGAGTGGTCTACTTGGGTATTATCAGAAACTCTTACGTTTATAACTTAAACGAAGCTTACGTCTTTTATGAAGCCATGCGTTCCGCATAAGACTGCCGCCAAGTGCCTTTTTCGAAATAGTTTATATCTCATCTACCTTGTGTTGTGGTTTCTTCATCTTTAGACTCACCAGCGGCCGAAAGGAAAAAAACGTCGCTGAATACCAAGTTCGACGAGGGTTCAAATGGGCTTTCTGCATGAGCGTTTCCCCATGATCAGCTTGAATACGAGCGCCCGTTTCCCAAGAAAGTTCTCCATAAAGACATTCCTTTCTTTAGGCCAGGGTTTCTTAAACTTTTTTCAGTCGCGAACCCCTTTTATCACTGAGATTTTTTCGCGACCCCCAGGAGCCCATAATATTCACAAAAAAAATTGTGGGCCTCCATAAGTATTGCGCAAGTCCGACACACGCGTGAGTGAAACTGTCAATTTTTTCACTTGTACTGTAATATACTATTTCAGTTTTAGGTCATTCACTTTAATTTCTAATTTGAAGACATTGAATATTGTGAAAATTTTAAATGAGTAACAGACGAAATGACAGCTTCAAGTGCCAAGCAAGTAGTAAAATGAACTTTTGTATTATTAAAAGAAGGCGTCGATTTTTTTCTTTGTCTGTATTGTCTTATCTTTATCTATTTTCAGATACATTGTGTAAAAATGTTTGGTAATTGTAAAATTATTATAATAAGAAATATCAAAACTGCTAAAAACTTTGGCGACCCCCTGCTGCTGGTCCCGTGACCCCCAAGGGGATCGCGACACACAGTTTAAGAAATCCTGCTTTGGGCAGGTAGCCCTCTTTTTCTGTAATCGAAAAAAACAAACCTTGATCTTAAATACTAGGAACATACGTAATGATGTGAACACTGACAGGAAATTCAGCCAAGTCAGTGCAGCTGTTGAATTAAAAACACTTTTACAAACTCGAAAATTTATTTAATGAACCTTTGTTCATCTCTTCAAAGATTAATGGCAAATATCATATTCATATATGGAATGTAATTCGCAAATAGCGGGAAGGGGAAAAAACTGTTTTTTTTTTTTTTTTTTTTTTTTTTTTTTTTTTTTTTAATCGTTATTTCCTTGGAAACTCCTTTAAAAAACGTGAATCTAAAACATCGCATTGAATAATTGTGTAACATTTCCCGAAAACTTTGTCATAACATAATAATATAGCATTATAAAATGTATATTATTTATTAAAGCTCCGTAATATAAGTAGTTAGAGTTTTATATCCTAACAATCTGAGATTCCTTCTTTAGTTTCCTTGATTTAATTATCATCACTTAAGACAAATCTGCATTCAGTGTTATATCCTAATAATTAGCTTATATACGGAAGAAGAATAAGACTTTAAGTAAAGATATATATATCTTTAAATTATGAATTATTATTATTATTAATTAATTATATATACCTTTAAATCATCGTATGAAGTAGTATTGCCATTAAATATTTAAGGGGAGAAGGGTATTCATTATGTCGATTGATCATAACTCAGATTATTATTAACAAAATATATACATACCCTTATAAACCTGTTCGGAATCAGTATCGTAAATGTGTCTATGTCTGAGATGAGAATTAAACTTTTACTTCATAAAACTTTACTAATTATTGTACTTATTAATATTGTCCTCTATTTGATTTGTTAGATTGAATACGTAAATATTCATCGTCCGCGTTTGCGCTTATCTATGAACTTAATAAGAAAGCATTATAAACCAAATTTTTTAACAACAGTGATTAATTTCTTTCCTACATAAAGCATAAACTTACTAGTACCTTTATGAAGGATGCTTTCGTCACTTAAAAACTGATCGTCATAAGAGTGAGGGTACCTTTATATCGGGATATTTTTTCTCTTTGCGCACAGTTGCGCCAATTTGCATAAATATACTGGAAACATTATGCAATGGTTTCTTGTTAATCATATTGTACCACAGAACACATAAAAATAGTTGCCTTTAATTCTTTGCAATACCTAACTAATGCCGAAATGGACGTCTATAATAACATCGAATATTTGTTTTTTCATGTCGTACGCAAGAACAGAAATTTCAGTCTGAAGTAACTTTTAAAAACCTTTCTCGTGCCAGATTTCAACATGAATATTACTAATAACTGATTTTTCAATGTTCGTTTCAGGATATTGAGAAAGTTCCAATATTTACTTAATCCTAGACAAGTGTACAACTTAGCAAAAGGTGGACCCATGGCTGGGTAATTATAACAAATTTTTTTAATGTTTTAAGCGTTATGTCATTCAAAGCATGTAATCTCTATAGGTTTTGTAATTAAGATATGTCAAGGAAGCATGTTTATGAATGATTTTTTTAAGTCTCCATGCACAGTGTCGTGGACGAAGCTTTCTCTGTTTTTGCATTCAGACATCAAATTGCGTTAATATCGAATTTCAGATAGGTTTATTAAAGATGCTATATCTTTTAAACTTACTCTGAAAATTTATATTCGTTTACGTTGTTAGTTATGTTATTGATTCTGGAAACCTCTTCTTCTTTTAAAAGCTTACAGAGTCACACCTTCTTTCAAGCATAAACTAATTTGGGACTCACTCTAAATGTAGACGACTTATCGCTACGTCCAGCATACAGACAGCTAACGTAAGAAAGGTGTAAAAGACTTGTTTTATTAAACTCGGAATAATTCAGCAGAATGCACTTCTTGTGCTTATAAACCAGCCAGAATTTATGGCGTAACTTAAAATTAAAGCCGTAAGTAGACAAATTCTACACAGAATAAATAATGCCTAAGTTGGCTCAAACGTACTAGCGGCAGGACAAGTCTAACGGCGAGAATAAGCAACGCTGCAGATAGACTCCTATCTAAGAGATTCAATTAGTAAAGTGGCCTTCAGCAAACAGAACACGTTCTGATTCAACAAAATATTTGCGAACTAAAATTTGCATTCTGGCAGGAAAGCGAGAAAGAGAGTAAAGTTATTGAACAAAAAATAGCTGGTTAGTTAAAAATAAACAAATCCTTACAAGCTTTGAGATAAAAATCTTCACATAGTATGGCATTTTTCATTATACAGTTAAATTATGATTTAGTGATTGTCAATGGACTGTAAAAACATCGTACCATTATATCCAGAATGCATTTGAGTGAATCTGATACGCACGACAAAAAATAAAGCTTTGCTAATTATATAGGTATTTTGCATTTGAAACAGACACATATGTTTAAAAATTATTGCTTTAAAAAAACATTATACAGTTCTGTTTATTTGAAATTTTAATGTTGTCCATTGTTTTAATAAGCATTAAACAATACTCAAGAGGCAGTTCTGTCACATCAGAAAGCAACAATTTATTTTCCCTTCTCTATCTCTCTCTCTCTCTCTTTTTTTTTTTTTTTTTTTTTTTTTTAATTAATTTTGAGGGTTTCGTTTACTTTACTAGAGATTATTTCGAAGTACGTTTCATTTAATCCGTCTTCTCTATCGGAATAGCATAAAATTTTGCTTTAAATTTCTTCAAAAATTTTAGATTTAGAAATATTATTAACCTATGTATGTTATAAACACCTGTATAAATTACGATTAAGATGTGACAGTTTAAAACAGAGAATTTCGAGATAAGTATCACATGTTTAAGACCCATTTTAAAGTTGTGCGTCCTTTAGCAAATATTATTTTTACTTCCTTGTGCGAAGTAAAAAGGAAGTATTGTAAACGCGAAAAATTTCGGTTATTATATTTCAAAGAAAATATCGATTTTGACCGCTATCCAATGCAATTTAATGATGTTTTTGCGTGACATCCGCAAGGACAGAACGTATCTCCGATAACTCAAAAACGAGTAGCCTCAGAACGTTGAAATTTTGTATACAGGACTGCTATAGCATGTAGATGTGCACCTCGTATTTTGGTTGCAATCCGCCGCACCAAAAGTATATAAATATATATATATATCCACTCTGTTACTCGGCTCAGTGAGCTCAATTTCTTTATTCTTATATTTTTGTAAATTGTGAATTTTTTGCTTTAAAAATGATTGAATTATGTTGTTCTTATCTTCCGGTTAATGTTTTTATGCCTTTAGTAAATCTGCATGCAATATTTGAGCAGTTATCAACAATTTAAAAGTTGTTTAAGTGCAGCTAAGCCTAATGAATTTTGCGATGGCGGACATGTTTGTTTACATTTTAAACTTATCAAAATAGTGGATTTGTTGCCAATCTAGAGAAACAAAGCTTCGCAACAACAAAGATAACGCCTTCCTTTATTATTGCCAATTAAATCATGTTTAATCCATTCTAGAATTTATTCGAGGTTAAATAGAATTTATTAAATAAGTGTTTCAGATTTACTTCGTAATTTTTAATATATATATTTTGAGTTTTTATGCATTTTAGCCTTGTCGGGAAGTGAGAACTGAATTAATTTAATCAGAAATACTAAATCGTCTGTGAAAAACTGTTTCTTTTTTTGTTTCGTTTGCTTAATTTCTTTTATACATCGTTTTAGATTTATTATAGTATTTGAATAGAACATGTGACAACGATTAAATAATTCTTCAAATGATATAAATCGCAGTTTATGTCTCCGTTTTAGAGAGATACCAAGCCAGGCATTCTGAGCTTCATTCTTATAATACTTTTGGACGAAATGTTATAAAATTAATAAAATATAACGCTGTTAAGTGAACCTAGCGCCAGAGTGTCTCTGTGGTAAACAAATATAGTGAATTTTAAAAAGTGCATTTATTGTATTCTGGTTTATGCGCTATCGACGATGTAGATTTAATTCAATCCAATAAGTTTAAATGAAATGTAAGAATAAATGCGTATTATTTAATATTCCGTGCACGGAAGTCATATGGTGTACACATCAGATTTTTTTATAAAATGCTATTGTTAATACACTAAAATTTGTTTTAAACACTTCTGACTGGACCAGGAGTAATAACCATTAAACTGATAAAATTTTTAAAAGTTGAATTGAACAATAGTTTCGTAATTAATGTTTAAAATAAAGAATTGTTGTTTTCACTCTGCAAAGAAAATAACATTTAAGAAAAATAGGAGGTTACTGCATATTCCAATGCAACAGTGACGTTGACCGTACGTATCTTTTATTTATCTTTCAACTATAGCTATTACATTTTTTATCAGTGTAAGTCCTCTCAAAATGGTATGAAAATCTTAAGTCATTCAGTGCCGCTCCCGAGTTAACTCTGGCTTACCAAGTTAAAACTCGGCACTGAACAGGTTAATGATAGCTTGATACTGTTCATTAGCAGCAAATATTATTAGCGTATTTGTACCATGAAACCATTGTGCTGATATAAAATTTTTCATTTTATCAATCAGTTTTACTGATTTTTATGCTGTCTATATCACGCCAAACAAAACTATGACTTTTATATAATCCTTAAATAATATATCTTAAATATAGCACCGTGAAAAAGATAAACTTTCACAATTTATTAATATTTAACGAAAATGCTACTGATGACGCTTACTGATACTTTTTCAAAATATTCCCATTGTAACGCATTTTAATATATGTGATAAAATGCGAATAATTTACTAAATTTTTAACTGCATGAAAATTTTGGAAATGTCAAGGTCACCACTTTTGATCGTCATATCTTTTTGTTAACTGTAACAATAAAAATACGTTTTGTCTCCATAAGTATTACTTGATGTGTGTTTCTTGTCAGAAATGGCAAACCGTTGTTCTCTCTTCAGGTTACAGATGTACAAAGACGTACCAAATTTCAGGGTCTTGTGTTGCGGTGGCGATGGGACCGTCGGTTGGGTGCTAGATACAATAGGTATGTATTTTGTTTGTGTTCTCACTTTATATTCGTCATCAGTCTCTTCTTTCTCAATATTCTGAATTAGAAATTGATTATACGCAATCGAACTCTTAATTGCACCCAAGCTTTCAGAAGTCTCGCCAGAATTAGAGCACCAATGTATGCAATAAATAGAAAAAGGGATCTTAAATTTTGTTAAGCGAATTCCATAAAATAATAGGAATAAATATTATGAGTTTGACGCTGTAACGATTTTTTGCTGAACACATTTTTTGGCAAAACTCAGAACATATCCGCTTCTTTGGTGGTGTCTAAGTGTGGCATTTTGTCCCTAAATTGTCACTTTGTGCTCATTCCGGATCACGATGTTTCAGCGAACTACTGAATTCCGTGATAAATCAGGAATATTGCTTCTAAAATGTAACCAAGAAATAGACAGCGGCTCTCTCTTCTTCAGCGCTCCGATTTCTCCACATCGGATTTCACATATTATCTTTAGTTTAATATGCTGTTTTTCTGGATTAGTCGATTACATTCTTGACGCATTAGCCTGAAACTTGCAGGTTTTGTTATTCATTGGAGAATGGCCTACGACATTTTCGCTGTGCCATTTACCAAGAACCTTGGGTGGAACACACCACAGGGAACAGAGAATTTCGAGATAAGTATCACATGTTTAAGACCCATTTTAAAGTTGTGCGTCCTTTAGCAAATATTATTCGTATTTTTACTTCCTTGTGCGAAGTAAAAAGGAAGTATTGTAAACGCGAAAAATTTCGGTTATTATATTTCAAAGAAAATATCGATTTTGACCGCTATCCAATGCAATTTAATGATGTTTTTGCGTGACATCCGCAAGGACAGAACGTATCTCCGATAACTCAAAAACGAGTAGCCTCAGAACGTTGAAATTTTGTATACAGGACTGCTATAGCATGTAGATGTGCACCTCGTATTTTGGTTGCAATCCGCCGCACCAAAAGTATATAAATATATATATATATCCACTCTGTTACTCGGCTCAGTGAGCTCAGTTTCTTTATTCTTATATTTTTGTAAATTGTGAATTTTTTGCTTTAAAAATGATTGAATTATGTTGTTCTTATCTTCCGGTTAATGTTTTTATGCCTTTAGTAAATCTGCATGCAATATTTGTGCAGTTATCAACAATTTAAAAGTTGTTTAAGTGCAGCTAAGCCTAATGAATTTTGCGATGGCGGACATGTTTGTTTACATTTTAAACTTATCAAAATAGCGGATTTGTTGCCAATCTAGAGAAACAAAGCTTCGCAACAACAAAGATAACGCCTTCCACTAAGTTGGCTCAATCACTAAGTTGGTTATCTCTAAATGATTGATTCAGTTACTCTACCAAATAAGTTTACGTGTATTTAACTGTAGATTTTCATAGTTTAGTGTGAAGCATTTTGCGTAATATATCATTTTAAGTAGAGAATTAAATCCAAAATGAAGAGAGAACGTATGTTTGTTTGTTTTTTCACTTTTTCGATAACACAAAAACTTTGATTTTTATTTAGAGTTTTCTTCCTTTCTTCATGTAGATACCTCAAACTACTAGGAATTTTCCACTCATTTTAGTTTTCGTAAATATGACGCCGCGTAAATGTTTGTACTGCTAAATTAAATTTCATTTTTATTTACAGATAAGATGAATTTCACGAATCCTCCCCCAGTGGCTATCTTGCCTCTTGGTACGGGCAATGATTTAGCCAGGTGTCTCGGCTGGGGTCCAGGTAAATTTCTTCATTTTTTCTGTTGTCTAATATTTAATACATAATACGTTAACAGCTGATATTAATTACATAAAGCGTCATCTAATTGTACTCTACTACTGAAAGTACTGTCATGAAAATATATCTCTCGTGCATAACATGTTTTTTTCTTGAATCTCTGCATTGTATCCTTTATATTCGAGAATCATAATATTAAACGTATCGCATTACAAATATTGCAGATAGTTTTTTAGGAACCCATTGTACTTAAAATGAATGCAAAACGGCAAGAAATAACACTGTAGAGAAAAACAGCTCGTAAACTGAAAGTCAGACTGATAGAAAATTAAGCATTTTGTTTTGAAAGTATCTGATTTTCTTAAGGTATGCACTGATAATTTCTCAGTGTTGTACAAAACATTGTCACCATTTGTTATTCTACAGCTAAAAATGCAGTTACTTTTTTGCGAAGTACGGTGTACTCTCGATTATCCGGATGCGGATTATCCAGTTTGATGATTATTCGCGCGTGCACGATCAACGCTGTTCGCCAGCGCGTGTAAGACACAAACATGCGCAAGTTCGAACATGCTGTAAAAACCGCTGCATTTCGTCTCTTAGATTTAGTTTTAATGACTATCTCGTACAGTTCGTTCTGCATGTCTGTTTTATAAAAAATAAAATCCAAACTATTAGTTTTCATACATTAATCATGGAAACGGATAGTTTGGATAAACCGCTTTTTCAATTATCCGTGACCTGCTCTCCGGCCTTAATCCGGATAATCGAGAGTAACCTGTACATACTTAAATCCTCACAAGACATTTATCGTATATCACAGCTTTCGTATCGAAATAGTAGATAACAAGCATTGTGACAGGCATTTTGACGCTAGTTAAAATTAAATTTACTAACCCTTTTTTTTTTCGAGAGGCATTTAAATATGTCTGAGATTATAAAATTAGGAAGTACTTTTCAATTTATCATATTATTTCAGAATATTTAATTAAGTACTAACTTTTAGAACCGTAAATTTTGTGCTTAAATACGAACAGGCGAATCCGAAGCTTAAAGTATATTAAAAATAGTTGTCTTCTTTGAAATAACGGAGTAAAATGTATTTTCATGTTTCCTCAGTGTATCTAATGGGAAACAAACTATTTTTTTCGAAAAATAGCAGCTTCGAATGTAAGACTTAAATTACAAACTGATGCGAATATTTTCACCCGTCTAGTATAAATCAAAGATGTCTTCTCTTTCGGTGGCCAAAATATAACTTGAAGTTTAAATCTTGCACTCCATATCTAAATTTCCTAAAAACACTTTATACATTCGGTAGCGATGACAACATAAATATGGCGTTAAAATATTGGCTACGGTAGCTAATAAATGCAAATACACTTATTTGATTATAAGCATAAATTGTAGTAGGTAAGTATCTTGTTGACGTTGTTTTCGAAAATTGCTTAAAGTTAATTCCCGGGCTAAATGAGTTAGAAATAAAAGCGTGAATAAGCTTTCAGGGAAATAGAGAGATGTCGGAAACAGTAAGAACCAAACATATTTTCAGCATTTAATGTCATTTGAATTTTTGCTCTTTAATAACAATATGCTGTTTAATGCTCAGATTTGCAATATTAATGGAATGTATCAGGTTGTGTTTGAGAGTACGGCAGAACTTCCAAAAATAATAAAGCATACATAAAATAAAACATACATAAAATAATAAAAAATTTGCATAAAAGGTTCAAAACACTTTTATCTTAGTTTTACATCGTTATTTGACAGGTTATTTGACAAGTCCACAGTGCTACTGAATATTGGATTGCTTCATAATTTTTCTATCTATCATATTATAACAAAAATAATTTTATGAATTTTTCATATGAGATTTTAAAATACCATGACGTACTTTAAATTAGCGTAGAGTTCAAAAATGTAATAATGCAAAAATAACTTTACATAAAATGTGATAGTACATTTTATGACACATAACTGCATGTGTCAAACATTTTTTTTTTTTTTGTAGGCCTCAGAATAACTTAATTTCACATAACGTACATAGTTTAAATAATTGCAAGTGATACTCATAACATACGATAGCTGTATGCAATGCATATTGTTAGTATTAAGTAGGCTCTGACTCGTAAACGTCGGCGTAAACAAGCTTAATGGCTAGAGGTGCTCAGCGCGACAGAAATCTAATCGCTAGTAAATTAAAGATAACAATGTAGCCTTCACGCAGGCAGAACTCCTTTCTCTAAATCCCTTTTACAAAACCTACTTTTAAATAATAACTTCTTTCCACCTCATTTGAATACACGCGCGCTAACTCATTAACATTCTGGTAAGAAAGCATTGGTTGAAAGCAAGAGTAATAGGAAAGTTGCTTGGAAATAAAATTAACTGTTATGTAACTTAAATAAATCCCCGCACGTTATTTATTCTAAGTGTGCATATTATGGCTTTAAAGAACAGTGCATTTTAAGTAATTATCATTTATCCTGTTGATAGTTAAGAGACAACAGGCTTTCGTTTTTTTAATTTTTTTTATTAGTCCAAAGGGATTTGAATCCCGAAGGACTATTGGTTTCGTTTTGGCATTTTGCGTCGGACTCATAAATGTCGGTTCACTTTTCAAACTGTTGCCATAAAATGTTAGAGTCCTGCATTATATTTGAAGAAATTAAATAATGAAAATCTGCGTAAATGTATGTATATTTCTCACATTGTCATAAAATAACGGTACATAGAGTCATCGAATTTTGAATAACGTAATCCTCCAACGAATATGAGCATGTGGAAGACCAAATTTGAAATTTGAAATTTGTTTTATGATCGATTTCCTATTTTTTAAAACTTTGACAAATTTTTGATTAACAAACTCAAGGATTTCAAAGCGAGCAATGGCAACGTTGTGCAGAAAAAACATTTTTATCTCCAGCGCGTGAGTCTCTGTATCGAAAATTCTAAAGATATGCTCGTTTTAAAACTATTTTGCGATATTGCTGTTGCACTGGATCTTATGGTTTAAGTGCGAGGAAGATGATATTTAATAAAGAAAGGTAACACAAAATGTTAAAAAACGCCCCTTTGGACGTAATTTAAAATCTAAAACATTTCAGATTTTTTTTTTTTTTTTTTTTTTTTTTTTTTTTTTGTTTTATTATACCTAGCATTTACGTATAGTAATGCATACAGTGTCTCGCAACCATATGATAGTACTATTATGACGTGAGAAGAGAAAACATAAAACACATAGGTATGTAAGATCTGATTGTTACGCACGTTTACGGATGGAAAATATTATACAGTGCAATATGAAATTTACCATGCAGTCTTCAAAATACGTTTTAAATACGTGAAAGATGCAGTGCGTTTTTACCAAACATTACCATCATACCAAGACGAGTGCCGTGCATCGTACCAAAAGTGTTCAGCACTGCTTCGCAGAACATGATGTCTCATATTTTACTTGGCCGGCGAGTTCGACTGACTTTTAACATCAAAGAGGAAATATAGGTTGCTTTGTATTTTAAATTGAAGAAGCGTGTTGTACGTCGGCTATAATTAGCGAAATTGACATGCAGACTGATAGAAGAATCGACGGAAACCACTGTAAATGTTCTCCGACACAGTATGCCCCATTAGGTCCAAGCTGTGCTCAGAGGACATGGTGATGTAACTGAGTATTAAGCCAAAAGAAAATCTGATTTTATATTTTGGTTTGTGCTCCATTATGTTGCAATCGACACGGTTGGCTTTGATTTCGCAAAAAATAACGATAACTACTTATCCCAAGCAAATATAATTCTTTCATGGAAAAAGCTGCATGATGTGATTCTAAGATCAGGTGTCAAATGGGATTAAAGATCAAAATCGTTAGCAGAATACAATTACTGCATGAGCATAATTTTGCATGTTTTCAAAATAGCGTCTGGAATTATTAATATGAGAAACAGTATTTATTTAATTCTGCATAGTGATATAGTGTATGAACCACTGCTTAGTTATGCCATCGTCAGATGTAGTATCTTCATGTAGTTCCATCATACTTTAGCCTCCTAGTTATATACCTATATGACAGTAGAAGTTAAGTTTCCTCGAGGAGAAAGAATTGTTTATATATGAGGCAATTTTGGTATCACCAATAGCGTTATCAGTGGTATTTTATTATCAGACATATGATATTATTGCTTCCGTACGGGATCGCTATAGAACGAATGCGCGCAAAACCGATAATAGCTTTTATAAAATTTATTTTACAAAAGAAACACTTTACACTTCAGAAAATTTTCACAAAAGTACAGCTCTTCTCAGTATCACAGAGCACAATCGGTAGTTACACTTCAAATTATTAAGAACGTTAAACACTACGCAATGCAAAGCGCATCTAAAGAGCGAAGCTCGAATAGAATTCTCTCAGTACTCCAATACTGAACTGAGAAATTGATACTCTGTCCGGTCTTATATAGTTTTCCGTCGGCCGCCGAGAAATCTCTAGAATCTTCCACTTCTCGAAATGTGACGGCCGGATATGGTTACAGTTACATATAAGGATCAATTACAGTTATTCAATTACGATACCAATTAGAGTTATCCAGTGACTGAACCAAAATATCGCCAAATGGATGCCAAGTTTGAAGAGGCTTGGCGATTTCTCGCCAAAATTGTCGGCAAAAGCCAGTCACCATGTTTAGTTTGGCGATATCTCGCCAATTTATCGAAATAGTTATTTACTCAATGTTAAATAGACTTGCCCCTGTAATCTTACTTTTCCGGCTGAGCTTCGTCTCTTTCAAGCATTTCATGTTCTTTTACGCAAAAAAATACTATATTTTCCCATTTAACTTCAATAAAATTATTTACATATGTACAAGCATCGTAACAAGTTATCGTAGAAACTTTTCCATGCATTATGAAGAAAATTCGCCCTTCGAAACTGCAGAACCATCCGTTTAAAATGAAGCTATTTGCATTTCGAAGTGATTGCAATTAATCTAACGAAAATAATAGAAATATTTGATTTAAAATAATCGCGTACGTCTCGGTAGAATACTTTTGCGAATTAAGTACTTACAATAAACGTTTTTATTTTTTTACTAAATAAAATTGCGTACAAAATTAAATAGAATGAAGAACATCATATCCTATGTAGGAATCATACTTTCTGAGTTGCAGATAAATTCTGCATTATCTTCCATTATAAAAAAGATTGTCACTAAGATCAACTCCTCATTAAAAGATTTATTAGGTAGGGTAGAATTAATGTAACAGAAATGTTTCGTTTTCCCTCGATTAAAGTTATGAACTCAAATAAAACGGTATATTGGTTATGGGAGCCTTCTTCGGTGCCTAAGGGCCCGGGTTCGAATCCCGTGTAAGACATGGATGTTTGTAAATGTATAGTGTCGGTGCGGCACGGCGACACTCTAAATATGCGGCGAACCGAAAGTCCTCTCGTGTGGATTGGTGGGTGAGGAGAGGGGTGGAAGACCCCTGATTCCCTCCAGGATGCTCTTCCTCAAAATTGGGGCGGAAAATAGAAGTCCAACCTATTTTCGGAGTAGGTTGTGGCAGCCATTGTTCCATGAAATATGGACAAGACAACAACAACATATCCTATTATAGTCATTAGGTTTTACAATAAAAGAGTAGAAAACTTTACATTTTTTCAGCGGCATTTCTTCAGTTAATAAATGAAGTAGTCTTTTCATCGATAATCCGTAGCATGGCATAGTTCTTTTTCTGTTGCCTGTATAATATTTTAAAATTGTAGCTAAGTTGCATCAATAGATCGAATAAGTTGCATTATTGTTAAATTGCATTATTGATAAGTTACATTATTTGTTGAATAGCGCAGTATGTAATTCAGCAATTAAAAATGTAAGAATAAGATTTACTGTACCTTTTTTCTTTCCCAGAATTAAATTCATATCCATAGAAAGAATGGGGAAGGCATCTTAATTTTTTTTAAACGCGTTTCAGTTTACTAGTTTCAGTAGTATTTTTGAAGTTAAGCGCTTATAATCTTTTCCGCGTAATTTTACAAAATTTAGTACACGAAAGATTTTGATTGTATGGTTTACCAATCTCTCCCTTTCAGGATACGAAAATGAAAGTCTTCCTAAAATTCTTAAGAAGTTAGAGAAGTCTATGCCAATGCCGATGGATCGGTGGAAAATTGAAATCAGTACCTCTAACAGCGACGAAAAGGGAGATCCTATACCCTGCACCATTTTCAACAATTATTTCTCCATCGGGGTGGTAAGTGATCGAACTCTTCTTTTACATTTCCTTTTCGATCGCTAAAAGGATTTTCCTTTCCTAACGTACTTCAGGCTCTTACATACATCCGACCCTCTTTTTACGCAATCGACCCGCTTTGCATAGAAGCGAAATTCCCCTTTTTGAGAGGAAGTGGTATTCAAAAGTTCGTGCTTGTTTCTCTTTGTACACGGTGGTCATAAAGAAACTTTTCCGATATATGAATCCCTAGCAATCTATCCACTCAAACAATCGAAATGAAATTTCAGATGCTGCTATTTTTGAAGGCATGCGCTCGAGAATGGGATGATTTAAAGCAGGATTTCTTAAGCTTTTTGAGGTGGGGGACTCCATAATATTTGCGAAAATTACCTCATTAGCATTGCGAAAATCCGACACACGCGTGAGTGAAACTATCAGTTTCTTCACCTTGTACTGAAACATACTATTTGCAGTTTTAATTCATTATCTTTAATTTTTAAAGTAAAATGCACGTTTCTACTATAAAAAAATGCGTCGAAACGTTTTCGTTTTTTCTTTGTCTATATTGTCTTATCTTTATTTATTTTCAAATACATTATGTAAAAATATTTAGCAATTGTAAAATTTTTATAATAAGTTAAAGAAATATCAAAATTGCTAAAACTTTTGGTGACCCACAATTTAAAAAACTCTGTTTTAAGACGATAAAGCTTTTACGCTGACGGTTACAGTAGAAAAATTTCGAAGTTTTCAAATGGCAACATCCTTTTTTCTACCTGCGCAAAATGATTAGCGCATTGAAAAACCGTAAGTAACGTTGGAACATTACCCGTATGACGAAAAAAAATTTGCAAAGAACGTTGTAGAGGACCCGTGACAACACAAGCGAGAAGAGAAGGAAAAACACTTTTTTTTGAAGTACAAGTTTTCAGCAAGCCCACCTTTGCAGACGACATTGTTGACAACAATGACGAAAGTAACATCGCAAGAAGAATCTGTATAACTTCTCGTTTTATGGCATCTTTCAATTCTGACAAACTTGGTGCATTTGATATGTATACCTTAGACTTCCGGTAACCCCAGAATCGGAGTCAGTTGGGGAATGGCAATGGCCAGAAAACCGCAAAGTTACGGGAATGACTGTATCTTGTAACGTTGTACACGTTGAAAACTTGTGACAGATTCCTCCGGCGACGTTACGTTCGCTATTCTTGTCAACTATCTCCCGCTTCCAATGCGGTACCGTCTGCGAAGGTGGGAACTTTGAAAACTTGTAATTCGAACAAAAGTTTATTTTTCCCTCGCCATAGTGGAAACAGTGTTTTCTTTTGCAAGCGTTTTACGCCGGCTGTTTTCGTCATTACGTGTATCATTCCAACGCTGCTTGTGGTTTTCCCATGAACTGATCATTTTGGTCAGAAAAAAGTGCGTATTGCCATTCAAAAATTTCGAAATGTTTTCTCTGTAACAGTAATCGTGAGAGCTGCTTTGTTTTTAAATCATTACATATATCTTCTTATCTGAAATTTCATTTCAATTGGTTGAGCGGGTGAGCCGCTTAGGGTTTCATATATCGGGGATAGTTTTTATGACCACCCTGTATACTTATTATTCATTCTATTTAAATGATTGAAAATTCACATAACAATACATTGCTTATACTTATAACAGACTCCATGTAAGAAAGTATAGCTTCATTCCTGTGCTCAGAAACAAAATTTTATCGCAACAGAGTAGAGATACGTCAGGATCGTAACTCATGGAAAAAAATCTCTGTCAAGGATATGACCAAAAAGTGTCACTTTTAGAAAACATCATAGCAGGTAAACGTCGCATATTCTAGAACGTTATTCTCGTTTAATCACGCAAAAATGAAGTTATCTGAGAAACCTGTCTTTCTTTTTTCATTTATTTGACTTCCTAAGTATCTGCTGTAGAAAGTGCTCTTGGTTAAGACCAGCCGTGTGTCGGAAAAACATTTCAATATGTACTGAGGGAAAAAGATTACAGTTACGAGACTGTGTTTGAAGAGAATAAAAATGAATGAATATACATGAATGATGATCGTATCGTAATTGGCAATGACAGATAAGCTGATAAAATATGAATAATGCGACTACGATTGCCGAAATATTTATTACTTCTCTAGGATTATGTTCTTGTTGGTATTTTTTATATAATATAGGGAGGGAAATATGTTCCTAAATAAAAATTTTCACTAATTCATTATTAGAATTAAGATTCATAGAAAATATGTTAAAAATTAAAGATATTTTTAAACAGTGCTTAAGTAATTAAATGTTTAAAAAGAAACAGTATAATTTGACATAAGCTATTTAAATGAATCACTTAAAAAATGGGAAAGAAAACTCTTGAAGAGCTTTATTTATATTTTAAGTCTCTCAGAGTATAATGCGGCCTTCTTTATTAGCAGATCAATATTGAGCTATTAAATATTTTTGACTAATGCCTCGCAATAGTAATAACAGAAATGTGCTTCAGAAAAATGGTAACTATTATTTTTTTCTGCTTATTATTATTATTTATTCTGTTTTATTAAATGTGGCAAAATACAGACGGGATGCCTGCGTAAAAGGAGAGATGCCCTCATGGAGGACTTATATTCATATTACACAAGAACCTATAAAACTATAGATATCAGAGAAATGTTTGAAAGATTTCTTTAAAATGTGCATTATTATCAAACATAAATTATATCCATGTTTAAAATAAACGTTAGTTTGTTCTTTCTTGGCTTCTCCGAACAGGTCATCCAGAATTGGAATCAAAAGAAATAATAATTTCCACTTCTGTTTACATTACGTAATTATTCATTTAAACTAAATTGTGAAATACGGTTTTAGAATTATTAAAAAGTTATATTACTACGCTTTTAACTCATTCAAAAATCTTTTTATGACTTTAAATCAAATAATTAAGCAGATATTTTACAACTGAAGCATTGATGCAGATATATATATACTTTAATATAACTTAATTTCACTTTACAATCCTGATTTAAACATTCTAAGAATTATGTTAAATAATCTCATGATTAGGTTATGACCGCAATTTTTTTCTCGAGCCCAATAAGCAAATAAGTTGTTTTAAATTTTTCATAACGGGATATTAAACACATGTTAAAATATTTTGCGCGAGTGTACTCAAATAGTTGAGCCCTCCGAGTTGCATTATGCGATACACTACGATTCGAACTGTATCCTATCAGGGCAGGCGAGCGGCAAATTTGCTGAACATTGGTAGTTCGATCCGGGGTTCAAATGTCGTCAAACGGGCTGGCTGCATGGACGTTTTCGTGGTTTTCCGCATGTGTAACGTGTATATGAGCTAGTTTCTTTCAGAAAGTTCTCCACGAAGGCATCCTGTCCTTAGGTACATAGGCCTCGAGTGCTTTGCCATAGCTAAATAAATCAAATCTGTAGCGTGATTACAGTGTCTGCTTTTACAAAATATTTAATTGGGTACGAAAAAGGTTTCCCTCTTCTTACACAGAAATTGTAAGACTTCATATGAAATAAACTGCCCTGTTTCATGACCTTAATTAATGAATATATAAAAATATTGCAGGGTAGAAAGTACAGTATGTGCAGAATACACGACGAATGTATCGAAATGAATGTTCTTAGATTATTTTACTCGAAACTTGCGAAGTCGAGTAATTATAAAGAGTACAGTATGATAGTTATTCATGTTAAGAGAAGGTAAAGTTTGTCCCTATCTATCTCACAAAGAGAAATAAATGATTTGAAACAAATTCATTTTATGTATGAATTGATTAACTAGATATCCTGAGCGAACCGGGTTGAATATATGTTGGGTACTCTGGAGAAATTTTGAGAGAATTCTCTCAATTTCTATTTAAGAGAAAGTAACAAATGTTACTTTCTCTCAAATCCAAAATAGAATAGTCACATTCCATAATGAAGTACTTGGCGCATTGCATTCTGACATGTCATTGAATAAGTTCCTGTATTCTGATTTTCCGCGAAAAATTTGTGTCTTGTAAAATATGCTTATGTGAAATTGTAGGGCATTTTAAATTCATTATGTAATTAATATTTCAACTAACTTACTTTTATGAAAATCTGCCATATCGATATACCAACTGCAGTTTTATTTAACATGATTTTTTTTTTAATTTATGAAAACAAGCACATCTGTATATGTAGAGTATAGAAGATACAGATACTATATCGTAAATCCCGTTATTAATCTTTTTCGGCAAGAAAAAATTTTAGCACCGGATATATAGCATTTTATTGCTATTTTAGTTCCTTTTGACAAAAGATTTTTTAAACAATAATATAGTTTTTTTATCTATGTTCATATTTTTTTAATTTTCGGACCTTATTTCCGTGGAAACTAAGATAAGAAATCTTGAGCACATATTTGAGAAATTTTGTCTTTTGACAGTTTTTCAGCTTTGAAAATTGTTTTATGTTTAAAACGTTATCATTTGAATTTGTTGTGTTATTGTTGTTGTTGTGACTTATCTCACCTGTCTGACAGTAACATTAGAACAAACCCACGAAATTCATCGTGGCAAGGAAGGCAAGTATCGCGCCTGTCATTGGTATGAGCCTTGAGCACCATACAGGTGACAATACGACTTTGCTCAGTTCCGCCCCCAGTTTTGATGGAGAACAACCCGGGGGACGGGTCCGAGGGTCTCCTCACACCTCTTTACCTACCACAAACCTCTCGAGAGGACATATTTAGAGTTCTCCCATGCCGCACAGACACTATACACTTACAAACATCCATCCCTTCTCCTGGATTCGAGCCCGGAGCCTTTGATACGGAGCAGTCAGCGTCGCTAACCACTATCCCGGTTGGGCGGCGGATTTGAATTTAAAATCTATAATAAGAAAATAGGATATATATTATTTTTAGTTATATTTTGTTTTTACATTATACATTAATTATATTATAGTTTTTACATTATATATTAGGTATAGTTATATTTGTAGCGGTTAATCTTGACACTATTATTTGTATTATATCCTTTTGCTTCCTGGATTAATAACATCATTATTTTTTCCAAGGATGCCTCGATAGCTATCAAATTTCATTTGGAAAGAGAGAAGCATCCTGAGAAGTTCAACAGCCGGTAAGTCGTTGGTTATTATAGTAATTTCGATTTATTAATCGACAATTAGTCGCATAAAATTACTTGCATTTATAGTTTTCAGATATTTGCTGACACTTTTGTAACTTCAGTAACGTCTCGACTAGTTTCTACTTTTCCAAGCGCAATGTTTTTCTGTACTTTTTAAACTACGAGTGAAAATCTTTTACTGTTGCACGTTGAAGAAGTTTTATTATTAACAAAATGTTGAATGTGTTTTCTATTTCAGGATGAAAAATAAAATGTGGTACTTCGAGTTTGCTACGTCGGAAACATTTTTTGCCACTTGTAAAAATCTGCACGAAGATGTTGACATAATGGTAAGCATCTGAACCTCAATCTAACGTTATTTTGTTTAATGTGAAAGATAACTTTTTGAAGCTAATAAATGAAGAATAAAACTACAAAGAGTGTATGTACCAAAAAATAAAAAGTACCGAATTTCAAAATGGATATAATTTTTTAATTATCAAAAGTAGTTTTCAAATTCCTACAATTTTATGTCGTTAGTTTTCAAAATGGATATAATTTTTTAATTATCAAAAGTAGTTTTCAGACTCCTACAATTTTATGTCATCATGTATAATATTAGAACTGACGACGTTCGTAAGAAAGCTTACGCTAACGATATGGGGTATTCTATGAATTAAAAATGCTACGGATAAAAAATCACGGGTTTAACTTAAAAAATGCTTAGCTCAACTTGTGATCAATATTCCCTATCCAAAATAATGACCAAAATTTAGATAATTTAAAAATTATGTTTCATATTAAAAAAATAATTAGAGGCAATAAATTAAGATACAATTCGGAAACAATTATTTATACACTTCATCAGAATGTTTTAATGAAAGTGAAAATCTACTTATTTTAAAGCATCCGAATTTTTTTTACTTTTGAAAGAACTTCATGGAAGACTTTTCTTATGAAATTATATAGCATTTACATTGCATATATAAATGTGGAGAATATGTACATGGAATCCACATGATAAATGAAAAAAGTAACATTTAATTAACTTTAGACATAAAATGGACTTCCTTAAAAATAAATGTGGTGGATGAACACACATAAGTATACATATATGAACATGAAAAACGTTTAGATAGACTTCCTTATGCTACAGAGAAAGGGGAGGTAACACTGATGATGAGGACTTGGACTTTGCTACGTCATGAGCAACAAACAGATCTAGAAAGTCAGACAGATGGTTTATGTGATTACGGCAAAGCATCTAGGGCTATCTGCCTAAGGGAATGGATGTCTTCCCGGAGGACGTTTTAAGAGAAACTGGCTCGTATACACGTTACACATGAGAAAAACATCCAAAATGCCAATGCAGCCAGCCCGTTCGCAACGTTAGAAACCTTGGACCGAACTACCACTTTCAGAGACTTTACTCCTCCGCCACTGGTGAGCCATTTCAGGCAGATGAACGAATTAATAATCTCCATCAGCAGACACTTGAGATCTATAAAGCTAATGCGTTGATTCATAGTAGACATTGACCACTACTGGGCTTAGTATCTACTTCACTCAATCAGCTTCCACCGCAATGAATGAGCTTTCTTGCCTTTACAAGTAACCGGGACTCCATTGAGTTTAGGTACACGTTTATTACGTCAACTTTTCAATACTGCGCAGATGTAAATCGAATCCAAATTTCCGGTAGAAAAAATGCAGAAAAGAAGGACATGCCTGTGGTCACATTCCCAAGAGAAAGCCTCACAGAAAGGTGGAAAGTAATCCAAATGGACAATCTGCAAAGGGCGAAGAGTCATGTTACTTGAATATTTGGCGTCGGTTCATTTCCTTTTGCGTAAACTGCAAGAATTCCTGGAAAGGCCGTAATGCTTGGTAATGTGTGCTTTGGCAGACATCAGAAAGTTTGGATGAAACACCATAAACGCTTTCACGTTTTGTGCAGATGGAACGAAACACACATTTTAACGAGAGCGAAAAGAATTCTAAAAATGTAATTCCGTTTTCATTTTTTTTTTTTTTTTTTTTTACTTTCTTGTACGAAGTAAAAGAAGTATTGTAATCGCGAAAAATTTCGAATATTTAAACGAAAAATATCCATTTTGACCGCTACCGAATGCAATTTAACGATGTTTTTTGAGTGACATATGTACATAAGGACAGAATAAAGAACTCTTTTTCCCAAAACGGATCGTTAAATGGATTTAAAATGGATTCTGAATGCATTTTTTCGTGTCGTCTGTGCGTACGTATGTATCGCATATAGCGTAAAAACACCTAGCCTCAAAACGTTGAAATTTTTGTATTTAGGACTGCTTTAACATGTAGTTGTGCACCTCCCATTTTGGTTATAATCGGCCACACCAAACGGGGTAGGTTGGCACCAATCATGTATATATATGTAAAATATAAATTTGCTCTACGCGAACAGACAACCTTTAATTAACTTTCCCCAGTACTTTCAAGAACATTCTAGCATGTTATATAACTGCTATTATAAATGTTCGCTCCATATTTTGTCAGACTGCTTTCTCCTTCTGCTGCTATAAGAGCTTTGCTGCCGCTCTTCCCATCTGTCTCATTTTGTTTGAATAGTATGACGCAGTAAATTTAAAGTTAATCCTATTTAGTTTAAATTACTATCGGATATGCAATCTTGGAGAATCTAAAAAATAATGCTCCGTGAGCTCAGTTCTTTTTATTCTCATATGTTGGTAAATTGTGCATTTTTTGCTTTAAAAATGATTGAAATATGCTTTTCTTATGTTCTGGTTAAGGTTTTTATGCCTTTAGATAATCTGCATGCAATAGTTGTAGAATTATCAACAATTTTAAAGGTATTTAAATGCGGCTAAGCATAACGGAACACCCATATTTGTTTACATTTGAAATATTGCAGAATAGTGAGTCAGTTTCTGCATCTTCAGTGTTTTTTTGCCGAGTGGAACCAAAAGTAAACTTTCAGTTTTGTGCAATAAAAAATATGCCTTTTGTCTGCTGGCCGAATTATTTGTTTTTGCACAGAAGCTACAATATTAGTTGTAAATTTTGTTTTTTTAAGTTGTTTTAACTGTATTTGGCTTTGTATGTTTTTCAGTAGTTTCAAATTTTAATGAAGATGTTTTGACTTTTTATGTATGTATGCCTTTCCACGAAGTGAATTAATTGAATGAGAAATATACTTCTCATTAAATTCGAGGAAAAGGAATTCGAGGAAATAAGTTTAAATGAAATGCAGCAAAAATTATTACAAGGTCATTTCACTTTTTATGGGCAGAATACATTTTTATTGATAAATACGCATGTTCTGTCACCGGGCAATATTGCATTCTTTAGTTTTAAAATACATATTGAGGACTTGCAATATATTTTTGTCTCTGGTTACAGTTATTTCGTTAAATCGCAATAAATCGTGTGGAACGTTTACATACGTGAGGCAAAGTTTGAGTTGAAGCATTTGAGACCTTCAGTGAGAAGAGAATTTCTTTAAAAGGAGAAAAAAAAACACTTACAAAATCCATATTTCTGATGGGCGATCTTAGGAAGAAAACAGTGATATGACACTCGTGAAAGGGGGTAAGAAACAGTTCTTTATCTTCCGTATTTATTCGGCTGATTGACAAAATTCAACTTTCTTTTTTTCATGTCTCGAAAGTGCGACTTTGGATATAGATATTTACATGTAGATTTATATGTAGCTTTGTTTAACTTACATCTGTTGACACAAAATCGGATGTTTTCTGAAATGACATGCCAAATATTTTCACATATTTCAATTCTACGACTCATATTCATTTTCCATATTTCGTTTGTACGACCGCTAGTATTGTCTGAGAAACCAAAGTAAAAGTTATGTAAAGTTTTGTGTGAAATTTAATTAGAATTAACTTGGCGAACCATTTTTACTTTGTGCCAAGAATAATTCACTTCGCGATATCTCAATTTACTTGCAAAATATTAATGTTTTCGTCTTATTATTATTTCTGTTATATTATAATAAATGTAAATATATTCACTGTTTGTTATATTACTAATGATTAAAATTCAGGTCTTAACAAAGCACAATTTGACTTTATAAAACATTTCTATTCTAAATCTATGTTTGCATAAAAATATATTTTACTTTGAAAAAAAAAGTCTTTTTATGATAATTAGCGGTCCTATAAAACGTAAACAACAGTTTGTTTAAAAAAACTTATTATGCGGTAAATGGCACGAAATATCTTTGGACATAAATATCTTCATAATTATTTTTATTTGTTGATTTTGCTACACACAGGGAAGAAAATAAAAATCTTATATTCTAGCAAATTACGCTGTTTTCAAGCATTTCTGTACTAGACGACAGCATATTTTATTTATATACATTTGACGTATTGTTTGGCATCCTCAGAAGTATTGAATGCGTATAGGACGCGCAATTGTGAAATCAGCAAAATAAATTTAGTTATAAATTGAAGTTGAATAAAATGGCGAATGAAAAATTTACTCTTCTGAAAGAAAACCAAATCTTTAAATTTTTATTAATATTCTTTATAAGTTTAAAAAGTAGCTTTTGGTGTATTATTAATAAATATTTATCAGGCATTATTAATAAAAATGAAGAAATTCCTCATAAATATTCGAGTAAAGGTTGAGCACTTAAAGTTCAAAATAAGTGTTGCAACTCATTGAAGATTGTAACAAAGTGCATCATAACATTTTTTGGCATTATTATCGCTTATAACAAATACTTCAAATTTCAAAACGCTGCAATGTGTAAATTCACGTATATCTTGCGAAATTTTTGAGTAAAAAGCCGGTAATTTTTTGCAGATATGGCTACAAATACGTCTACTTTAAGATGGTAGTAAACCTTTTATGGGTTATAATTCAGAAATTTTTTGAAAAATTCATAAAAAATTATTTAAAAACACAAATTTTAAAAATAAGTCGTAAAAAATGTGCAGTTTTATTTGAATTAAACCTAATTTTCGAATTCTCTGAGAAGGGGTCAAGTTAGTTTAACTAACAGATGTTAATAAATATATGCCAAATTCACTTGACAGTGAGGAGATCAAATTTTGAGACCTTTTTTTAAAAAAACCACCCGGCCGATTTTTTACAAAACTTGGCACTTTGGCAGAATTCGATTCGAGTCAAAGTTTGGAAAAACTCGGTATGTCATTTCAGAAAAAGGCCCGTTTTTTATCAAAATAGTATTTTAGAACATTACTATATATAAATCTGATATAGTTCCTGAGTCGTGTTATCGGGACATGGAAAACGCAAGCTGAATTTCGTCAACCGGCCCAGTAGACATGAGAAATATGGAACTGTTAACACCCTTTTTAAAATGGGTGTTAACTTTTTTAATTCATGTAGTATTGCGCAGAAATGTTAACTTAGCTGGAGAAGAGGCTTGGTCGCATTATTGAAAACGAGATGAGAACTAACAGATCATTGATGAAAACGGTGTCCGCCGAAAACATCGCGGACGAAAACGTCGCGGTACAAAACGTCGTGGAAGAAAAGGAAGCAAAGAGAAAACTTCGCAGTTCTAAAACGTCGTGGTACAAATTATCGTGGTCGAAATAAAGCGGTTCAAAAACTTCGCAGTTTAAAAATATCGTCGTCGGAAATATCGGTGGTAAAAAATAAAGTGCCTGCAAATCATCGCGTGATGATAACATCGCACACATGCGTTTTTCAGGTTTTAAAAGCTGTAAATCCATTTTCGCATAATGATTTGGGAGCGCAAGAAGGAAAGGGGGAAATTTTTACTTTTATATTTCTTATTTTTAAATGAACTAATAAATTTGTGCTGAAAAAGTACGAAGGAAGCTTAAGCATTTAGACGTTGAAAATGAGTAGAAAATTAATGCAACTTATAGCACTTAATAGAATTTTTAATTTGCGTGGTTAATTAACAGTGGTCATTAATAAATTGGACTTTTTTATAAAGTTTTACTCATAAGAAGAATTTTATGAAAAATACCAGCTGAAAATTCTTAGAAAAAGGAAGATAAAAAAATGCATGAGGTTACCTCTATAAAAATTGCTTAGTTAATTATCAAATTATTTTCTTTCACATTTGTTAATCTGGTATTGTTTTGGTTAAAGTTATATCTTCCTTTGTTTCCGTTTATTCTTAAAGTGTCGTTAACGTTTCTTGAGCTTCCAAATCTTTATGCAAATATGCATTTACAACTTTTAAAACCTGAAAAGCGCACGTCAGCGATTGTATCGTCATGCGATGATTTGTAGATACTTTATTTTTTACTACGATGTTTTCAATAACGATATTTTTAAACTGCGAAGTTTTTGAACAGCTTTATTTTCGACGACAACATTTCGTACCACGATGATTTAGAAGTGGGATGTTTTCTTTGCTTTATTTTCTCCCACGATGTTTTTTACCATAACGTTTTCGCCGCGTAATGTTTTCGCCGCGTAATGTTTTCGCCGCGTGATGTTTTCGGCTGTAACCACGAAAACATTTATGGAGGAGGATGAAATGAGGTATCTTGCCTATGAATTTAGAGTTTATAGACTACTTTCCGAAAAGTGGAAATGCAGATGTTTTAAACTTTAAATTTTTGAGGTTGCTTTCATAATGTTGTTTGAATCTTGAATTTTCATTTGTAGATTTCTTGCGATGCATATTTTGTATTTACTAGAAATTTGATTCTTATGAACTTTGTTATGTTCCAGAAAAAATATGTGAAACTATTATATGACTATTTTATTTTATTTATAATTCTTACTGTACTTAGATATAATATGTTTCTTTTAGTGTGACAACGTGTCCCTGGAACTGTCAAACGGTCCTTCCCTTCAAGGTATCGCGGTGCTGAATATCCCCAGCATATACGGGGGTTCCAATCTTTGGGGTGATAGCGCACAGAAAAAGAGGACCAAATCTCGGCGGAAAAAGGATCGAGAAAATTCATCCAGTAGCTTTAATTCGATTGATCTCAGTGCGGCTATACAAGGTAATATTTATAGCCTTTCATTCCTTTTGTAATTCCAATGCTCTAAATACACTCATATCCATAAATTAAGGATAATTCGGAGTCACGCGGAAATCGAACTCTAAAATAAATATATGACCTGTAAAATCCTACACACATCTTCAAGAATCATATGCAAATTTCAGGAAATAACCAGATGACACCGATGATACGTCGCAATGACGGGAGTGTAAGAGAGTGATATATAAGGAATACAGGCAAAGAAGTAAAATTGTTCGCAGGCGCTTTATAAGCATTTCAGTGCAATAACCGAATAGTTATGACACAAAGGACGCATTTGATGATTTTTTACGTGGTAGAGTTATCGGCCGTCTGGAATGTGGGCGTACCCAACTGGAAGTATCAGACGAACTTGGAATTGCCCAGAGTGTCATCTCCAGGCTTTGGCAACGATTCCAAGATGATGTAAATGTAAGTAGACGTTACAGCGCAGGTTGCCCCAGAGTTACAACGCCGAATGAGGACCGGTATTTGTCAGTTACTGCCAAAAGAAACAGGCGGAGCACAGCCTCAGACCTGTCTCGTCAGCTCTCTTCAGCAACTGGTACGGCAATTTCAAGGCAGACCGTGTACAGACGCTTAGGGCAGATTGATCTATATGCTCGTAGACCTGTCAGATGCGTTCCACTTACTGCAACTCACTGTCGCCTGCGTTTAGCCTGGAGTAGAAAGCATGCATTGTGGACACCACAACAGTGGGCTTGTGTTTTCCGACGAGTCCAGGTTTAGCTTGCAGTCTGATTCTTGCCGGACTTTCATATGGAGAGCTCCAGGTACCCGTTACCACCAAGAAAACATCATTGAACGACACCGTTACGGTGGTGCAGGAGTGCTCGTTTGGGGTGGAATTATTCTGGGTTCCAGAACTGACCTGCATGTTCAAATTGGAACCATGACAAGGCAAACCTATCGGGACATCATTCTGGAACAACATTCACGTTTGTTTCGGGGCGCCATGGGCGCACAATTTGTGTTTATAGATGACAACGCCCGTCCTCACCGTGCAAACATCGTAAGCGAATGCCTTCAATCGGAGGATATCACCCGTATAGCCTGGCCAGCATTCTCACCGGACTTGAATCCAGTAGAGCACGTGTGGGATATGCTTGGCCGACGAGTTGCTGCCCGTCAACCTCCTCCTACATGTCTACCGGAACTTCGGAGAGCATTGCTTTTTGAGTGGTGTAATATCCCCCAAGATCCGATCGATAATTTGATACTCAGCATGCCTAGGCGTTGTACGGACTGTATTGCATCGTCTGGGAGACATAAAATGTATTAACAATCATACCAACCATCTAATATTGTTTTTTTTTTTTTTTTTTTTTTTTTTTTTTTTTTTTTTGTAAATAGGTGTTTTTTGTAATTTGCTGCAGGGAGAAAAAATTGCTAATTCTTTTAATAATATCAAACATATAGCATCTTTTTTTGCTCTTTACCTTTTGTTTAATAAATAAGCTTTACAAATAAGTCAAATTTGTTTTGCTTCTAATTCTTCCTTTGCTGATTTTGCATTATCCTTAATTTATAGACATGATTTTAAATTAACAAAAGTTTTGTCGAAATTTGTATAATTGCACCATTCTCTGAAAATTGAATGGTTTAATTGATTGATGATTTACTTCGCTGCAATACTTTTTTTCACTTTCCATTGCTGAAAATTCTATTTCATGGCAAAATGTACTGCTAATAAGAACCTCCTCTAATTTGCACCGCTAGGTTTCATCGGTAAGGGAAACTCTTTGCCATGTATGAAGAAAAATATCCCTAATTTTCCTGTGTTCCTTTAATTTATTTGTGCATTATATGCTAGTAATGAAATATTGCGAAACTTATTTTCTCCTGGCCCACCAGCGGCCGAGTGGTAAAGTCGCTGAACACTGGTAGTTCGATCCCGGTGTTCGAATCCCTGTGAATTGGCCGGCTGGGTGTTTATATGGTTTTCGCCGTGTGTAACACGTGCACAAGTAAATTTTTCCACTAGGCAGATAGCCCTCGAGTGCTTTGCAATAATTAAATAAATCAAACTAAACCCATTTCGACTACAATGCCTAATGGCTTCTATTATCGTCAGGAAATGCTATCCGCAACAGAATAAAGAGAGATGTTACGAGCCTTTCTGATAATCAAGTACGAAACTTTTCGTTAAAGAACTGGAAATGGAAGGAAAATATTGTGTATGAGATAAGAGAAGAACGCAAATCACGGAAGTGCTTAGGAACACACCTTTGAAAGCACAGGTTACAATTTTAAGAGGCGTAGTTGACAGAACACAAGATTAAGCTTGATGCTAGAAGGTTTCTGTTTTTAATGTGTGTCTTACGGATTTTTTTGTGAAAAGACTTTTACTATCGACAGCATAATTAATTTTTGTTTAATTTTTAGTCTGAATAAAATTAATTTGAATTTCTTAGTATAATAAAAGAAAAGTAACAAAATCAGCTCAATTGATTTACCTACATTTTTTCAGATTTAGATCTCGCAGTCAGAAAGGGATGTCAAATTTGTACAAATCTTTTAAATTTAAGAAGTTCGCTTTTGAAATACAACCTCAGTTCTATAACTGCATACTTAATATATTATACAAATTTTAAACATTACATGTACCTGATTTTTAACTTTTTCTGAATTAGATAATCTTTATAACTAATGACTTTAGCTTTCTTAATTTAGCATATTTAATATTGACATGACATATATTTTGCTTGTACTGCTAACTTCCTCTCTCCCACCCGAGATAGAAAAATATTCTTTCACTGTTTCCTTTAAATTGCAAACTTAAGAATGATCCTCGATGTAAGTGTTTTTGATGTTTAATTTTGCTTAAAGCATTATGTATCAGTTTTATGAAAATCAATTTTTATACACCAGTATTTATTAGTTCAAAGAGACTTTGTCCCCTAAGGGACTATTTTTTTTTTTTCCTTTTACGATTTTGCGTTGAAACGCTATAATCGGCGTATCACTTTTAAAATTGTGTGCCACCAAATATTATCGCCCTGTATTATATTTGAAGAAGTTAAATAATGAAGAATCTGCATAAATGTATGTATGTTTCTCGCATTGTGATAAAACAAAGGTACCTAGAGCCATCCAATTTTGAATAACGTAATCCTACTGCGAATATGGGCATCTGGAAGCCCAAATTTGGAATTTGTTTTATTACCGATTTCATATTTTGTATAACTCTAAAGAATTTCTGATTAACAAACTCAAGGATTTCGAGGCTAGCCATGGCAACATTGCAACAAAACATTTGTTTATCCCCAGCACGTAGGACTGTGTATCGGAAATTCTAAAGATATGCTCATTTTAAAATTAGTTTATGACATTGCTCTAGAACTGAATTTTATGGTTTAAGTGCGAAGGCAATGATATAAATAAAGGTAACACGCAAAATGTTAAAAAAAAGCCCCTTTGGAGGTAATTTAAAATCTGAAACATTTTAGAATTTTTCTTTTTTATTTATTTATTTGTTATGATGTTCGAAATCCTTCACAACAAATACAATCATCGGATATATGCTTTACTAGAAAAATAAAATGCTTCTTTCTATTATATATATCTTTTCTGCGCTTAATAAAAGAATATTTTTGTGTCGTATTTTTTCGAAAATACTTCAAAGTATTTGCAACTGAAAATGCTTTCTTACTTACACGTAACCAGCAGTGGCATTGAGGTAATTGTTTACATTGCCTAAAAGTTATTGGAATTGTTAGAGCAGAAGATTTCTTCAGCTTTTCTAAGATAAACGATGTTTACAGCATCTATGATTTTAATAGCTAAGGTGCTCGAAAATAAGTTCATTTTTTTTCCAAAACTTTGTACTGATGGACGTATGCCAAATGTGGTGATTCGCCAAATTTGGCATCCGTCCATTCGTACGAAATTCTTTGCTTTTATTATATCATCAGGGCATTACATTTATTTCGGTAATAGTTTATGCGGATTTTCTATTGGACTTTAAACTTAAAATAAATAAGGTGATTAGTTTAAGATTTGACACTTTTTGTACTTCACATTTTACTCTCAACAAACAACCAAAAAAGAAATAAAAAAAATACAAAATCTGCACTTAATACAATGCTTTTAATTAATGCTTGAATGTAACGTTCTATGACAGGCGTGTGCAAATCTTTTTATTTAACATTTAAAAATCATTCTTGCATAAACTCGTGTCTTGTTACATTTTTTTATAAATATAAGAATTTCAGTAATTTTCATCTTTGTATCTTTTTCCAAGTATATCATAAAGCTGCAAGGGAAAGAAACGTTTATTTTAATAACGCTTGTCTAAATGTAACTGTAGATCTCTATTACAAGAGTTGATAAAATCATTTAGTATGAGTAAATTTCATCCTGGATCCAGGTTCGGTGCCCGTACAGGGTGGCAAGATGTTTAAAATTTAGGAGTGCATCTGGCAGAAGAATTTAGGAACCGCAGAGATTACACCAGATGTCAAAAGGCCCGTCGCCGGACCTGCCAATACTTATGCAGATAAATTTGAAGCTTCTGTCTTAAAGAATTGGCTGTGTGGCTGCTGTGTTTAATGTATTCATTGGATATTAGATATCCTGATATTTTACATCAAAAATATCAGGCTCTTAGAAAATTCTTATTTAAGACAAAATCCTAGATAGTTCTCGCTACTTTGCTGTAATAATTTAAAGAGGATAATCGTATTCTCTAAGATAACATTGACATGTAAAACTGGATATTACGATCCAGTTTGGCGCATTTTCAAAAAATTGCCAAGTCGCCAAATCGGTTGTTTTCGCGCGTTTTAGAAAATCCCTAACTCATCATATCGCTATATTAGATGATTGCGAATTTGAATTAATTTTGTAAACATGTAAAAATGTAAACATGCAAAAATGTAAACATGCAATCATGTTTACATTTACAAAAATGTTACATTGTAAACATGTAAACATGCAAAAAACATACATGATCATGTAAACATGCAAAAATATCTAAATAACCTGTAAACATGCAAAAATATCTAAAACAGGACTTCAAGTAAGACAACGGAAAAAGAGGACTTTCTAAAGGAAACTGGCTCATATACACATTACACATGGGGAAGACCACGAAAACCCCCTGCAGCCAGCCCGTTTGCAGGAACCTCGGACAGCCGAACTACCAGTGTGCAGCGACTTTACCGCTCGGCCATTGGTAGGCCCAGTATCATTTTGAGAAATTAAAACATTCCTTCCTCGAGTTCTTGCGTACTGGTCAACACTTGGAGCTAGTTATTTTAAGACCTCGTTTTCGATTCCTGGAAAGGGCATTGTCTATTTTCAGCCGCTCCTTCCTCTCCAGATTCCTTCTTCTCCATACTATTGTTATAAATTTTATAAAATTGGAAAAAATTATGCAAACAGAAACTTGTGTAATTTTAGTATTTGTCTAACGCAATAACCCATTGAAGGTAATGAGTATAAAGTAGGATTGATTAGTCTTTTTTTAATCAATTTCTCTCTAATAGCTTTAGAAAAAATGATGATATTGTTTTTAATATGAGGCTCACGTAACAATCTTTACATTCTTTCTAGACATCGGAGATCGCATGATCGAAGTAATTGGCCTGGAGAACTGCATGCACGTAGGTCAAGTAAAAGCAGGACTCCGAGCCTCGGGACGCCGGCTGGCCCAGTGTTCCTCCGTTGTCATCAGGTAAAGAAACAATTGGTCTTGCTTTGCAGAATTAAGTATGCACACAAAATGCGAAATATGTTCAATTGTTTAAACTGTTATGTGAAGACACAATATGTCATACACTGTAAATTTCTGAACAACTTATCTGTGCTCTTGGTGAAGCTCTGTGGTGCACTGACGGAAGTGATACGTAATAGATGAAAGCCAAGTGGTAGCCCATACTTTACCGGATGTTAATGAGTATTGTGCAATGCTTGCAGCTATTTATAATCGGATGAATATATCGTAAATGTTTTTGATAAGGAAAAGAATGGTTTTCTACTTTCTCAAAAGAATTCTTGAGTTGAAATATATATGTAGTAATGAATCAATAACGGTACTCATGTGAGTGGGCTGTCTAGTTAAGACCAAAGACCAGTCCAGCTATTTTTTTTTTCTGATATTGTTGGAAATGTTTTGCTGCTGTGATAAAAGTACTTGGAAACATCTCTGAGCTATAGAAGTTAGATTATATTCATTAGTTTGCCTTCTATCCTTAAGTAGAAATTTATTCTGAAATAATTATCTGAAAATTTTCGTAAATACTTTCTTTCTATTTGGTATTCATGTTTGCCTTATTCACAAAATGCAATTTTAATTATATGTAAATTGTTTTATAAGCATTGGAATTTTTCCCTCCCCGCCCAAGAAAACATTCATTTTTAATGCTTGCATTTTATGATTTTAGTGATTCTTGCTAATTTTTTTGTGATTTTAATATTTATTGGACTGTAGTATTCCAATATCAACTGCTACTAAAAACCTTTAATTATACTAACCATCGATTAATGTCAAAGCTTCTTTTTTTATTTTTGTTTATTTATTGTTGTAAAAACATTTTTCAGCTATCTAATTCTTCTCATAACATGTATCTGGTATGTTCTCAACATGTACTAGAACTCTCCATCTATTATTAAAATATTTTTATTGAAAGAACTATGCATACATCTGTTTTATTTCCTTTCCTAGCGATGAATTAGTACATTGTTATGAAGATTTATAATTTTATTGCTTATAAATATTTGTGAATTTTGTTACGAGAGTAAGTTTGAGTAATGTGTTGCTTTATTGCTTTTCCGGCTAATATTCTGCTATCATTTTTATTCAATTTATATTTACTAGTTTCTTCTTGTACCTAAATGCCCATCTACACGAGGAGGCAAAGTTGCTCAGCGAGACAGTAAATTTTCTCTTGCAGAATTGTCGCCTTATAGCCTATTAACCACTTGCGCTAAAAAGACGTGCCACGCACGTCCAGATGCTTTTGTCTCAAACCGTGAGCGACGTGAACACCACGTCGATAGGCATTTATCGCAAAAATGAAAATAACGTGGTGCATACGTCGCCTAACAACGAGATTGTTTATTTCTCGAGTTACAGCTCTGGATTGCACTCGCAGACGCGGAGCGGCGTAGTCGTAACGCAAGTGGTTAATGATGTCAGTCTGTATGGGACCAGGGAAGAATCTGGTGCCTCTAATGTTTTAAAAGTGTTAGCGCGAAAGTTGCAAAAACAAATATCCTGTAACACGATATATCGAACGATGCAAACAAGGCTGTTGAGTCCTTTGAAGTTTGATTAAGAGCTGCGAAACGAGCTGCAAACGTTAAGACTTTTATTAATTTTCTCAGGTATAACATATGTGATATTTTTCTGAGATATACGAGGTTCCCTGAAGCCCTCCTCAAATTGTCCTCTTATAACCGATTGAGTGCTTTATGTTAACAAGTCATTTAACTTAATCTTAACATGAATAACTTATAACAAAATTATACAATGTGATTTTGTAATATAACATTTTAATTTTAGACATTTAAATATGTTTTTCACTTTTCAGGACAAAAAAGCGATTTCCAATGCAAATAGACGGTGAGCCTTGGATACAGCCGCCTTGCACGGTAAATTTGATAGGACTTAAGTCCTGCTTTTGATGTGTGAAAAATAAACAATGATGTGTATTTTATGCTTACTTAATACCTGGGAAATGCTTGCAATGCTTACTCTAATAACTTGTAAAATACTGTAGTCGCGTTCGATTAGAAAGGTCAAGTCAATAAGAAGTCTAATTACTGATAACTCATCTTGAGTGCGATTCCAGTCATTTGAATGCATTGGCTGCAAGTGTATTTTTCTTGTGTTGAACATAAATATGAGCCATGTTTTCTGAAATATTCCATAACAGCACTGCCTCAAGGCAGCTAACTTTTGAATATTTTTTCCCTATTTCAATTCTACGACTCAAATTATAAAAAGCTGCCAAATTTTATAAAAATCGCACGAGTAGTTTTTAAAAATTCGCTCTCAAAATTTAACTCCTCAATGTTAATTGAATTTGATATATATTTATTAATCTCTTTTTTTTATGAAACTTACTTGATTACCTCTTCTAGAATTCAAATTTTAGGCTTAATCAAAGTATAATTCGCAGATTTTTTTTAAATATGTATTTTAAGTACTTTTTATAAATTTTTCGAATATTTTTTATTATAACCTATAAAATTTTGAACATCATCTTGAAGTAGATGTATTTCTAGGCACATCTACAAAATATTAGAGTTTCTTATTAAAAGTTTTCTAAGATATACATGAATTTACATATTGGCACGTTTTGAAATTTGAGATATATGTTATAAGCTGTAATAACACCAGATGTGGCTTACGTACTTTGTTAAAATTATTTGATATAATGAACGATGACGTTTTTCATCTCGTTTACAATGAAAAAAGAGGAAAGCAAAATATGTTGCTATAAATTTAAAAGTTCGCTAAGTGAATTATTATTGGCTCAACTTGAAAAAATTTCTTTAAGATAAATTTCTGAATTTCTCCGTAAATTTGGCATCAAATTTTACAAAATTTAATATTTAGGAATAATTTGAGTCGTAGAATGGAAATATGGAAAAAACCTGGCATGTGATTTAAGAAAACGTCCGATTTTGTGTCGAACTATCTATATTAGAACAATGTTATATATAAATCTGATTCATATCCTTAGTCGCGCTTTCGAGACATGAAAACGCAAAGTGAATTTCATCAATCGGCCCAGTAGAACTGGAGATATAGAAGTAGCTTTTTTTTTTTCGTAGTGTACACATAGTGCCAAAAGTGTGATAGAGGCGACCTATCTTCCGCGTTTATGTAACGATCAGTAAGTAAATGCAGACTTTCTGAATCAGTACAACTTTTATTGATTTTTCAAACGTTTTAAATTTAAATGGTATAAGCAACAATCCCCTGTTCGTCGCATAAAATAATACAAATATTTAGATACAAACTGTGTGCGTCGAAAGTCTACTGACAGTTACAAAATCGTTTGCGATTATTGATTGTAACTAAACGTTAATAGCTTGTAGATCATCTTCTGTATGTTGTTATTGCAAATAATCTTCCTTCTGTGATATCAGAGCAAGCCCACGAAATTCATCGTAGCAAGGATGCAAGATTGTGCATGCCGTTGGCAGGAGCCTTGGGACCCATGCGAGTGACAGGTGACAGGTGACGGAGGACGAGGGCGCCTGATGTTTAACATAGGTAAACAGGCATATGCCCCGCGTCCTCCACTATCTAGTGGCAACAACTCCCTGGAGCCTCATCAGGCTGCCTCGGGAGTTATATTTGGAATCTTAATGAGAAAGTTACATGGCCATACAAGGGCCGGTTGACATAGTCTACATTACGCGTGATGTGTATGACATTTGAAAGTTTTAGGATTACAGTGGTTGTTACAGGAAATCTAAAAAAAAAAAAAAAAAAAAAAGGGGTGGAGGTGGCATAAAAATGACATAATACATATAACAACATTGAATAACCTGAAACACATAACACTTATAACATTTAGACCATACAGTTACACATACAAACTCTTAAATACACAGAACATACTCACAGACTGCTAAGTAGAGTACTAATAATGCATTCATGTGATGCTGTTAGAACATATAATGCTGGGCAGATGTAATACTATGTGACATATAAAAACGTGTAATAAAACTGGTAAGATCACAGGATGCAGAGCAGAGATAAAGCTGCGATACTAGTGAAAACACATGGTGCATGCCAGATATAAAGCACGCGTGTAACATTGCCAGATATAAAGCACGCGCGTATACTAATTAAAACACATGATGCAGGGCAGTTTTAAGACAGATAATAACATAAGTTGCAAATAATTATTAGTAATGAACTTTTGGTTTACATATGAAACAGATGGTGGTATATGAGTAATAATACTTATGGGGAGACAATTCATAGTGCATGAACCTAGGCTAACACATGATAGGAGTACATGATGCAGAGCAAATATAGAGCTAAATAAAAGACATGATTCAGGACAACTATAATACTGTTAAAAACACATGACTTTGGGCAGAGATGATGCTATTTAAAAGCACATGATGCAGGACAGAGATAATAGTAATGAGAAACACATGATGCAAGCATAAATATGATACACATGGTACAGGGCATATGTTATACTAATAGAAACTCATGATGCAAAGCAGATATAATACAAATAGGAGCATATGATACAAATAAATATTAGGGTACTTTATGCAGAGCAGGTATGATGCTGGTATATACACATGATGCAGAGCAAATCTAGAGCTAATTAAAAACGTGACATAGGGCAGATATGATACTAATAGAAATACATGAAAATACATTATGCAGTGCAGTTTATGTTCTAATGAACACGTATGATGCAAATCAGATATGAGAAAAAAAAAAAGGGCCACATGCCGCTGAGCAGGTATAGTACGATTAAAATCATTTGATGCAGGACAGATATGATACTAATGAATATACATGATGCAGAACAGATAAATAGCTTATAGGCTCATATGGTACAGAGCATATGTTGTACTAATAGGAACGCATGATGTAAAGTAGATGTAATACAAATGAAAATATTTAATGCAGATAAATATTTGGGGTAAACAGTTGGTGTTTCATATAATGCATATGATAGTATATGTGTAAAAAAAAAAAAAAAAAAAAAAAAAAAACTTATGATTAGACAACTCATAGTGCACGAACTTAGGCTGTCATACGATTGGAACACATAATGCAGTTGCAAATATGATATTAATGTATATACATGATGCAGAACAAATATAGGAGCTAATTAAATGACATGGTGCTGAGTAGATGCAGTACAGGTGAAGAACGAGTAAATACACTTGGTACAAAGTAATATGATGCCAATAAATATACATGGTGCAGAGCTGATGATACTAATAGCAAAGCAGATATAATACGAATAAAACACATTGTGCAAATAAATATTAAGGTAGACAAAGATACATATGATATAGTATATGAGTAATAAGTGCTAATAGAAACATATGATACGGAGAGCTGATATGATGCTTATAGGAAGGCATGCTACAGAGTCGTTATAATACTGACAAAAGCACATAATACTGTGCTTGTATAGAACTAATAAGGACACATGACAGCGTTAAAGTTCATTAAATTTGCTATTTGCAAGAGTTCTCAAACCAAAAGTTATAAGAACATGTGCCGGCATTAAAGTTTATTAAACATTTGCTATTTCGTGTGTTCGCAAAGCAAAAGTTCAATTGTCTAAGTGTTCTAGAGGAAAGTTCACTTATAATAGTTAGGTCTATCGTGAGTCAGTTTTAATTAGCAGAGTCACCATTTTTATGGAAAAGATATTGAATGGAAGTTGGTGTTTAATATAAGGTATGCTATAAGGTATGTATGCAAATTGTAGTTTCCTGGATAAATGCAGTGGAAAACCTTATGTTGATTAAATGGGCTGGCAGATATCCTGACCTAGTGCCGCGATAAATTTTATAATTTTACATATTGCATTAATGCTTCCCTTGTGCTTTATTATCAGTCGGTGGTAGGCAGTTATGTTGCTCGTGGGCATGAAAAGATGCATGGTATCTGTCAGAGGGCACCTGAATAGGTAGTGGTCTGGCGTTCCGTCTTCTCCACAGGCACAGATGTCTGTATTTGATATCCCATGTCGATGAAAATAAGACGGGAACGGCCCGTGACCTGTTTATGTAGTTTACCAAAGGAGCAATGGCGATAAGGCGGTCAGTTGATACCTTTGAAATACGCTCATAGGTGCGCCTCCCTGTTTCCGCATTAGTCCATTCTTCTTGCCATTGTCGTATTGCTTGTCCCTGCAAATGACGCTTTAGATAGGATGGTGGGGCAGGAATATTATTTCTTGTGCTTCGAGATTGCTTGCAGCATCCTTAGCCAAACGGTCAGCTGCTTCATTTCCCTGGTTTGCCATCGTGGGCTTTGACCCAGACCATGGTAATTTTAGTGTGACGATTATGCTGCAGGATGTCTTGCAAGTTAATGATGCTCGGCGATACATGGTGTTGATTTTCTATTGCATTTATTGCTGAAAAGGCTGTCCGTGTATATGGTAGATGCCTGTATATTGTTGTTGAGTATATGCTGTACCGCTGCTGTGAGAGCAGTAACTTCCGCCTGAAAGACGCTGTTTTCCGGTTTCAGATGTCCTTTCCATGTGTATTCGGTGTTGGAAACCATCATAGTTGTATAAAGGCACTACCTACTCCATGTTCATGCTTCGAGCCATCCGTGTATATCTTCGTGAGGGTGTCTCGATGAAGGCAGTTGGATTTAACTGTGCGTATGCCTGTCCCTTTTAATTGAGGGATGTGTACGCAATACGTCGCCCCGATGCTCATATTGGACTGGGCTATAGGTAGTGTTTCCAAATGTCGCATCTTTCGGCGCAAGTGGATCAGTTGGCATATGCAGATTCCATTAAGGCTTTGATATGCAGTGGTATGATACCAGCTAGTACCTGTGCTGCATTTGTGGCTGTAGTTCGATATGCTTTGCATAGGTTATTATCGCAAAAGGTCTTTGCAAGGCTGAT